TGAAATATCGAATCAGTTTCCTACCAGAAGTAAAAGATTAATTAAACCCCCATCTAGATATAATGATTTTGAAATGTACTAGTTTTGCAATCAGTATTGTTATTAGTTTTTATTTTAGAATGTTTTTATTCTTAGTTCATTGTTGTAATGTCTGTATATTATAGGAAGGGAAAGATGTCATGAGACTGAATAGCTTGTAAATGTAAAGTCCTGATAGGACTATGACATGGGACAGGCGGCACGTGGTCTCGGGGCAGAGGTTAGGTTAATGACTTGAGATTAGGAGGTTAGGATGACACTGTAATCTGTAATACTGAAAGTAATAATAATAAATATGTACAACAGTCCGTGTTAAACATTATTACAGGTGGTTTTAATGAAATTCTCACTAGCACATAAATAAAAAATATAAAAAGAAGAAAACCTAGATGGTTGCTACCAGAGCTAAACCAAAAATATTAAATAAACAAAACAAAGAAAAATTATAAGCAATTTGCCAAAAGGGCACCACCTTGTATTTTCTGTGAGTAACAAGGAAAACTTGTAAAACCAAAACACATATATAAACACATAATAAGAAACAATCACACTGACCTTATTTGTCCCTTATAGCAAACCTGTTAGCAATTTTTGATAAGTGGTCCAACAAAAAAGAAGATTGTTAAATAAATAAAAAATACTATGTCGTTACATACAAGCTATTTACTATTAGCTGAAACATAGATTAAACTGTACATATCAATTAACATCTTAGAAACATAAATTTTTATTACATTCTGATACCTTCTTACATCTTTATAAATGTTAAATATTAATTTTTCCCGATGACCTGGTAAAAATATTTGTGTTAAAGTTGATCTCAAAAAGAACAACCATTAAAAAAAAAGAATCTTTAAAATTTACTGATTTCATCATACTATGTAGTTGGAAGATTTTTTGCTTCTTACAACCTACATACAAATTTAGTGTTGTATACAAAAACAATGACTATTGAACAGGCAGAAAAACTCTAAAGGATATAGTACATTAAAAAAACACTGTCACTGCACTGCACTAGGTACATGTAATGTTGAAGAAAAATATAAATAATAAAAAGTGTGTTTCCCCTGCCAAGATCACCATCATTGATCATATCTAATACATCTGCTGTTACAGGATACCTAAACCAGGTAAAAACTTACAATGATTTGTGGACTTGTTTAGCTATATCCACTGCAATTAAAGATGAGCGTTCTGAACTAAATTAATCATTATTTTTCGTTATGGCTTTACTTGCAGGCTCATTACATATTTTGATTTACCTTGTACTATTTCATTAACTTCATTTTATCACCAAACAAGATTACTGTCAAAGATACATTTGATATCCAAAGATGTTTTCAAACTAAAAATTCCGGTAACGATTGACTAAATGGAAAGTGATTCTCAAAAAAAATCCTGCTTAACAATCACTCGCTAATGGGGTTTTTTAAGTTTAATTTATTTTACCCGCAGTAAAGTATCTGCAAATCGCTGGTCTATTTTGGCAAATTTAAACAAACACTTATTGTGCTTAGTTATGAGAGGCAGTTCTAAAATTCAAGTGTTTCTTCTTCGAAGATTTGTAATACGTAGATTAAAACCTTACACAGAATGGATTTTAAAATACTTAAATTAAAACATTATACCGAACCGAATATAAAAATGCTACATTATAAGTACCATTTTAGTAACGTAATGAAACAGTTATAAGGTAAGTAACTGTAGAGCTAAATTGAATAGTACATAAAGGTAAACACTATTAGTTATAACCGAACACACTAGAATTAATGGTTGAGAATTGAAACAATAGAAAGATTTATGGGAAAAATAATAGGATTTTGATTTTTTTACTTCCTTTATTTATTATAATCTATTTCTAAATAAAAAAACAATAATCAATAAGTATATCACTTAATTAAAATAGGGGAAATCTATATACAGTGACAAGAGTCCTTTAAGATAAATTTCTAATATATATATATATATATATATATATATATATATATATATATATATACATATATATATATATATATATATATATATATATATATATATATATGAAATATAAATAACACGTTACAAAGACATTTACTAACATATTAAAAAATAGCACTAGTTAAAATACACACACAATTATATGTGATAATTAGATGCTGTACCCCATATCTGTATACCGTAGGTCCAAACTGGCTTTAGAACACATTTATATAGTAATAATTTATTAGGTAAACTTAATTGTATGTATTCCCAAGTATTGAACATCACTTTATTTATGTATTATGGTATTGTTTATGCGCACAGATGGTACTCTCTCCTTGCGTAAAGTAAATGTTTTATGTGCTGATTTGCTGCCATTTACTTTAACTCAACATAGTTTTAACCATTTCTCTAGTTCATTTAAATGAAGTTGTAAATTTTGACAGGCTGTAACAGGAACCGAGCTAGAAGCCATTATCACAGTATTGTCTGCATAGCTAGCAATTGTGCTGTTTACTCTTGTGGGAATATATGCCGTACAGAGTAAGTATAAAGTTGGTCCCAATATACTACCTTGAGGTACTCCCGATAGAATTGGAGATATGTTTGATACTGCTTCATGTATCTATCCCGGAAATATCGATTTGTAAGATAGGATCTCAGAAGTGCATAAAGAGAATGAGGAAAGTGAGTTTTTATTTTAGATAGCAACCCCCCATACCATACTTTATCGAATGCTTGTAAGACATCCAAAAAGGCTGCAGTGCAGGCTGCAGTACAGGCTGCAGCGATCTTTTTAATCGCATCTCTTGCTACTTTGGCAACTCTATGTACCTGCTCAATTGTTCCATGTTGTTGCCTGAATTCAAACTGATACTCAGGTATTTACTTTTGTCTGCCGATTATAGAATTCATTCTTTGAAGGAGTATTCTCTCAAATATCTTAGAGATAATGGCAAGCAAACTGATTGGACGAAAGGATGATAGTTCGTGTGGATCTTTATTTGGTTTCGGTATTAGAATAATTTGTGCCATTTTCCATTGAAACGGATAGCCTAACTTTAGTATAGCGTTAAATATCTACATAACAACCGAAATCCTTCTTCGGGTAAATTTTTGCAGATTTTTCCCGATATTACATCATACCCTGGATCTTTTGTAGTATTGACATATTTAACTAACTCTTTTATTTCGTTAATTTTGATATTTTCTATAGGAGGTGACATCTGGTAGGGTGCATCTAAGTTCTTGTAAATGAATTCTTCTTCTTCCTTTGAGATAGTTCTGGAGTGAGGTTGAAAAATTTGGCTGAGATGATGAGCGAATGTTTGTGCTTTTTGGTCATCGGCCTTGGCCCAATCACCATCTTTATTTCTCATGGGACCGTCATGTTTAATCTGATGTTTAAGTTTCTTAGAGAGTTTCCAAATAGAGAAATTTGTGTTATCTGTCGCAGTGAGACTTCCAAGAAATGCATTTATGCCTTGATCTTTTTATTTATGTAGTTCTCTTTTAAGCAAACGAGTAGCCCTATTCAGTTCAGTTTTGTTCTCAGGAGATCTGTAAGTTTGCCACTGTTTTCTTAATTTTCTCTTTTCGTTAATTAAGATTTTTATATAATGTGGATATGCTGCCTGTTGAATAATTGATGTAAGGTGATGAACTGCTTCCTCAATATTTTCATTTGTTTTAAGAGGAAGATCTAAGTTAATTGCATTTTGAATATTAAATCTGAACAGACTCCAATTTGTTTTTTTTTATTTGTGTTATATACATGTTCCATCACATCAATAAATATGGGAAAATGGTCCAGCTTTTAATAAGTTCTCTTCCGCGTATTGTTATTAGTGTTGAAGCCCATTTTGTATGTTTTGTCATTAAAATCAACTGCTGCAATAAAGCGATACCCAAGGCCATTGAAATAACTAGAGAAATGTTCCTCTTTAATTATTTTACTAGAGGGCAATACGCAACTGATATCGTTATATTTTCTTTACTGAGTTCTACAGATATAGAGGTTCCTGAATGTTGATTTGGAATAAATAAAATTCAGCAAAGAATGGTATTCGGTTTGTTAGTGTGAACTCCTTAATGTTACTTATTAATAAAACAAAAAGAAAAGAGAGATAGTTGATACAAATCGAGTCTTTTTCATTCAAGACAGCTCTTAAAATAATAATGAAGATAATCTACAAATAATGCTAAAACAACTTAATATTTATTTAAAGAAATTAATTTGGATTATTCATGACATTATCAAAAACAGTTATCAGATGGTAACTAGTTATATAAGTACAATTAATAAAACAAAAGCTGAAGACTAAGTACGTATAAGCAAATATAACTATTCAACAAAAAATTTGCTCTATGCATAGTAAACATTCGACAAATGATGATACAACGAGCCATGGGACGTGCAATGCTGAACGTGAGCCTTCGAGACCACATAACAAACCAACAAATCAGGCAAAGATCAGGAGTTCAAGACGTCATCGAAAGAACCACGACGCTTAAGTGGAACTGGGCAGAGCACTTAGCCAGAACACAAGATGGACGGTGAACAAGACGTATTATGAAATATAGGCCCAGAAACTATAAAAGAAGCCGAGGACGACCACCGACTAGATGGATCGATGATATAAAACGTGTAGCGGGAAACTGGCTACAAGCAGCCCAGTGTAGAATACACTGGAAAGAACTGAGGGAGGCCTATGTCCAGCAGTGGACGCGATTGGCTGATTGATGATAGCCGTAACACAGTGAAAAAACATAATTCAACAATAAAAGAAGTCAAAGCAGATCATGCAAATTTGGAAGCATAGATGACTGGCTATTTAACAGGACAAGAATTGAACATGTTCATTAGCATGCTTGGCTAGAAAAGAGTCTGACAATACTTAAATATTGGACTTATAAAGAAATAAATACAATATTTTATAATAAACTAAGTAAAATTATGTTGTGTATTTTATTTTTATTGGTATTTATATGTTTTTTAGGCAAAGTGTAAAACCAGTTTTCTTCGTTGCCAGCAGAGGTCATCACGCAGACATAGGAGGTATAACTCCAGGTTCTATGCCACCGCATTCTACTAGTTTGGATGAGGAAGGAGCTGCTTTTAAATCGTTTCTTTTAGTCGAAAGTGGCAAATTTCAAGAAGAAGAATTTATCAAATCAATTAAGGCAGCAGGTGGAAGAAATTTATCAGATAATATATCTGATGTAAGAGCGCAAGTAGCAGCCAATAAGAAAGGTATTGATTTGGTGTGCGAACTTATTGACCAATATGGTTTAGGTAAGTAAATGCAATAAAGTCTTACATACGTATATAACGTACTACATCTGCTATTGTGCTTTACGTATCTAGTTGAATACTAAATCAGTTTTGTCTCTTGGTCCTTTTAGCGTGTTAATTTCTGCTTTTTCTTTTGCCAATATTAAGTTGTTTTGTTTTATGTAAGTTTTTACTTTTTTATATACATTGCTTCTCTTCCTGTTCAGTTCATTTACATCTCTGTCATCTATTAGGCGTTTGTCTTATCCGGAGATTTTCTAGGCTTTAGTTTAAACGGCAAAGAAAGTTTTTTTCTGAATAGGACATTGAAAATAGATGTTACTAGTTCGGGTTTCTTCCGTGCTAGTTTTTTTGTTGCTTCTGGTGGCACATTTTCAAGCCCTGGGGCTTTTTCTAATTTTGTACTGCTTGTTGCCATTTTTACTTATTTTCTGGTGAAAGGTTCGAAAATTGTGTTTACAGGCTCAGACTGGAAATTATTTCTTGATGAGCTTGGGAATAGTTCGACAATTATTTCCCATCTTCTATCTGAACTGATATTATAAGGTTTTAGAGTTTTCAGCATTTGATTTGATATTTTATACTGTTCTAACTAAATATCTTCATCGAGCACTGTGCAGAGATTTTTTCAACATGAAGGTTTGACTATACTCTATCCTCTTGAGAATGATAGCATGAATCCTCTAACATTATCATTATCCTCCAAAAACTATAAAGTTTAGTCTGTTATATATAAAGTATTTTAAAATATATATATATATATATATATATATATATATATATATATATATATAAATATATATAAGAAAGTAGTTTTAATATGTAACTCTTTCGCTAGTCTGAATGCCATTTCTCTAACTCCAGCTCTTGTAGGTGCAAAACCAGCTTTCTGCAACTTTAGGATATGTTTGTTTATTTTATTTTCATTTTCTTCGCCGAGAACACTACTTGCTCCTAATGCACTTTTTTTTTTAATTGTTACTTTTCATTCTTCTTCTTAATGTATATGCTCGCACTTCAAAATTACTGGCGGCAGCATTGACCCCCATTTGTCTACTTCTTACGGCATATATGGCTTATTTGTGTTGATTTTCAGTCCATAAACCACGTTGGCAATTTCCTTTTCTGTTATACTTTGCTGGCGTGACATTTGCGAGCCAACTAACCCGAATTGTCAGGGTGAGATGGCCCACTTAATTTCCGTGTGTTGGTAACGTTTGAAAGGACTGGCAACTATGCCAACATAACCTCAACGATAAAAACAACATGCCATCAAAACGTGACTTCGATAAAATACAGACAAAAATAAGTTCACAATAGTTTTGACGATTACCGAAAAGAAGATGTAAATAAAAGTTTCTAAATATTTTACCTTTCAACCTTGGAAAAAACATAATGCTATGCAACTGATTCTCACTTGAAGAGCCATCTCTCCCGGACTTACCCTAAGATTATACACAAACCAATATGGTGAACTCTCACTTTAAGACAATTTAGTCATAGCATACTTAAAATTTGTAAAAATTTAGATACCTAATTAACAATTTGCTTTGAAAAATAAAGATATCTCAAAAACTAATAAATTTAGACTTAGAGAATATCAAATAAAAAGTATGGTAATGGTACCTTTCGACAGTGGCATAAAATACAGGATGTTCTATTTAAAATTCCTGAGAAAATAATGTACTTGTGTTTTGAATCTCCCTGTTTTCGATATAAAGAAAATTAGCAATATAAATCATTTTTAAAAATTTTAATAATCAATAAAACATTGTTATTGTACTTCTTTTTATGTATACAGATTTGATAGGTTATACAAGATACAAGGTGAGCATGTTACGAGTTTCATATATAATTGGTTATAGCTTTGTAAATACCCTATATAACATAATATAACTTACATTGTTGTAATGGGGAAGTGAAGAAGATTTCGATAACTCAAAGTTGCCTACAATTTTTGTTATTAACTGTTATTGCTATATACAATTAAAGCCGATCTACTGAGCTTTACCATATTAATCAATCACACTGTATATAAATTATGAAAAATTTATTTTACTGATAGCTATAAAATAATAAAAGAAATAAAATTGATTTTTAACTAATTAAAAAGTATATACTTTCAAAAATATATTTATAATATATTCTTTATTATTTCTAATAAAATTAAATTGTATTCCATTATAAAGACGACCTTTTCCGAAAAACAGAAAAGTTTTCATTCTATATAAATTTTGTAGCTTTGAATGAAATCCCTTCAACTGTAAATTGTACTCATGTAATTAATGACGGATTTTTGTTACATAAAGCTATTTGATCTCAAACATGAACTTTCGAAAACGTATTTAACGAATAGGTACATCAGTTATGTATGTTTCTCGGCATTATGCTTCATCTAGCAGGATTATTTTTGTTGGCTATTCAGAAAACCTAAAACTAAGTAACTAAGTATTAAGTACTTATTTTTAAATGAATTTGTCTGATGATTGTATTCCATAATTTTTCATTTATATACTACTCTCCAAAAATAACGCACCACCTAAAATAGACCATGATGTTGAAACTATATTTCTTTTGAACCCTTAATTGGATTTCGATAATTTATTTTTCGCATCATAGGGATATTTCTAATTAATTACTATAATAATGGTTTTTGAGAAATGTCAACTTTTTACTTATATATAGATTACGTAAAGATAAAGTTCTGTTTTCTTGTCTAATTTTGCAACACCCTGTAGAATGTATTAGAAACAAACACTACATGTTATTAATATTTCAAGATTGCCTCATTCTTTCTCCACATTTTCGTAAAAAATTCATCTCAATATCTTTATTATCAAAAAAGAAAAGTAAGTTCAAAGAATTACGTGATTTTCTACTCTCCAAAATTAACGCACTACCTCAACTCTACCACAATTTTTAAGCTATTTTTCTTTTGAATCCTTATTTGGATTTCGATGATTTTTTTTTCGCACTGTTGATCTATTTCTGAGTAATTACTGTATTAATGTTTTCTGGGAAATGTCAACGTTTCACCCATATACGGAATAAATTTGATTTTTCACCTTATTTTGCAATATTCTGTGGAATTTATTACAAGCAAACGTCTTATTAATATTTCGAAAAAACTCTATTTTTTTAAACATTTTCGTAAAAAATTCATTGATTTCTTTATTATCAAAAAGAAAAGTACTTTCAAAGCATAACATGATTTTATCGAATTATTGTAATACTCATTAATGGAAGCAGTTAGTTGGCTATGAAAAATCAAACAATTTGACAGGACAGTTTTAAACTGTCAATATTGTTTACATTTCAAAAAATTGTTTTGCTATTTTGCGTAAGTTATATAGCTGACATGGACCGTATTTCAAGAAATCTAAGCCGAGATGAATGTGTTCAGGCAATTACTTTAGCTGATGTAGGGTCAAGTTATCGTGAAATAGGCTTGAGGTTAGGAGTATCTCATACTACAATATCACGAGTCATTCAACGTTTTCGAGAAACAAACGACCATACGAGACGGCATGGACAAGGAAGAGGAAGACCCACAACACCACGTCAAGATCAGTTTATCAGGCTTCGTGCTATAAGAGAACGTTTTCTCACAATGAGATATTTACAAATACAAGTGGCAAATGTTCATAATATTCAAATCAGTAGAAACACTATACAAAGGCGTCTCGCTGAACAAGATCTGCATATACGCTGAACAATATCTGAAAATGGCGGCTGATCATGACGGTTCGTCATCTTTACCGAAAGAAAATGAAGAAAATGTAGTAATGAAATGCTGTAACAAATCGTGTGCAGTATATGTCTGTAAAATATGTTTTTCTATTTATCATAAAAGTTGTGCTGAACGGGCAAAAGGCAAAATTATAGTAGAAAATGGAAATAAAATTACTTGCTGTAAAAGTGAGGTTAATTTACCACGAAATTACGATCAAAAAACTGAATCACTAGAATTGGAAAACAAGTATTTAAAGGAATTGTTAGGTGAAGTAAGAGACAAAAATATTGTGTTACACTTAAATAATCAATTATTGTTAGACAAGATTAAAACTATGGAAAAAAATGAAACTGTAAACAAAGGAGTGAATACTGCCACGATGGCCGGAATCGTAAGTGCAAACTCAAAAGAGTTTTTAACTGTTGTAAATGCTACAGAAAATATAGATACAAATGATAGCTACAAAGCTTAGTTAGTAAAACAACCTGAAACTGTACCATCCTCGTCTTCCTCTTCCCATAAAGTACATAAACCTAACCCTCAAAATAAAGTTTTCACTCTGTGCCTGCAGTTTTACAGGCACAGATTACAAATAACATGCAAGATATCCAACAATTAGGGAATCAGGTATGTACACCTAATAAAAATAATGAGTGGCAAGTAGCCAAACGTAGAACTCGTCGCGCGTCGTTTTGTAGTGGGCCGAAATGAAAATACTTCCCAGGTTCAAGCAGTTCCAAAATTTGTATCATTTCATGTCACTAGGCTTACTTCAGAAACTAAACCTGAGCAACTGAAGGCCTTTTTGGAGCCAAATTTTCCAGGCGTAAAGTGTGAAGAGCATTCATCATCCCACCCGGAATATTATGCCTCAATGAAAGTTACCATCAGACAAGATGATTGTAGAGAAGCATGGAAACGAGAGGCTTGGCCAAATGGAGCAGTAGTCTCGAGGGTTTTCATGAAAAACAGAATTAAATCTTTTAGCGAAAGCCGCTATCGCTTTATATATTAAATGGCCTACTATATGGCCTAGGAGACAAATTCGTTAAACTTCCCGTGCTCGAATTGGTATCACTAAAGTGTTATGATCATTTCGGCCTATCCCAGCCATCGTCAGACACTTGGGCTGATACAAATTCAAACTCGGAAAGTAAAACGAATGTCTCCCAAATCTTTACTACCGTGTAGTTAGCTTATAAAGGCGCCCGAATTCCCGTGCTCGAATTGGGATACCAATTCGAGCACGGGAAGTTTAACGAATTTG